TTTCTTGACGACCTGATACTTTAAAATATAGATGTAAACAGTGCATATCAATATTATATCTTCTCCCATATTAACTTTCAATAATTATAACAAAAAAAAGACGAAAGTTTTATGTATATAAACTTGAAAGCTTTATTTAAAATGAGTAATTTGTTTTCACCTTGGAGATTAATAACTTTTTACAATATTTCCCAACAACGTTTTTTGAAAGTAATATCACTTATACAATATTTCACAAAAAGATACTCGTGACGAAATACAAGTGAAAATGTAATATCGAGTTTTCTTATAACCAGGTAAAACACTTTCAAATCAAACACTAATAAAATTTGTGTAAAAAAATTAAAGTACAAAACATATAGTAATATAGCTCTAAAATATAACTCAAATGGGTAAATTAAAAACTGTTTTTTTATGATGACGTTACATCTACAAAAGGAAATATGAACGCATCAATCTTGATATGATCATCTCTCCTTTTGTAAAGATGGAACACGATCATACTAAAACAGTGTCTAATCTGCCCATTGAAAGATGATTTTTAGAAGTAAGTCATGAATATCTTTACAAAATATGAAAATATTTCAACATACTTATTTAGAAAAGATCTGCGATTAATTTTAACTCTTTAAAATCTATACGGTTATGCTGTGTTTTACAATAGCATGAACACGTTTCGCATAACAACGAATAAAATACATAAATTCATCTTAATTTTAGAAATAAAACCAAAACGACAGTTTTACAATGCAATAAATTTTGTATAGAAAAAATCGTACTCAAGCATGTTAAACTCAAAAAGTCTTAGTTTGGATTGAATATGAAAGAAAAATATATGTATATATATATATTAATTGTTTAATTATAATTAATATAATAAATCTAATGCAAAAAATGTTGAAATCCAACCATATTTTTTTTAATCCAATGTTAATTCAAGCAGAATTATCAAATCTTTAATTTCTTTTATAATATCAATTTAACTATATCGAGATATATTAAATTAAGAAATGCAATAACTTAAAATAGTACATATAGTTAAAATATTTACAATATTTCTGAAGTGTTGTTTCTTGCTATGATAAATAAACATAAAATTTTCTTGTTTGGAATGGGTTGTAATGTTCTGGTGTTGCAAGAGTGTTTCCACTTCTCTTGTTCCCCTTGGCTACAATACCACTGTATTATTAATCACCTTAGTTTCACCACTAATTAGCCATTTATATCACCTACTATCAATTCACATTAGTCTCTTATACCACACTATTCTCACTTCACATGTGTCACTCATACCACACTGTTCTCACTTCACACGTGTCACTTATACCACACTATTCTCACTTCACATGTGTCACTTATACCACACTATTCTCACTTGATATTATTTATTTATATGACAATAGTTCATCTTCATTTGCGTTTTATATCATGATGTCTTCTGCTTCCACTTACCTTTACAGTTCTATATATTCATAACTCATCAATCTCTAGGATCATCTTACCGTGATCTCGTACATTTCATTTTCATTCTGCTACCCTTATGATCACAGCATTAAGGCTAAGCTAATGGAACGTCTTATTCGCTTATGTTTAGGAATTGATATCTGTGGTTTAATTTACTTTTATCACACGAAACATGGCCATTCACTTCATCTGTTATATTGAAAATAAATCTTTCTCTCTGACAAAGACTTGTAATATGATATTTTCTCAATTCTAAATCCTTACTTATGTATTTGATATCCATAGATATACAACTGATGAGAAAGAAAGGCAATAATTATAATTCTTACTTTAACTAATGAGAAAAGCATATCAAAGAATCTCTACCCCTAATGTTTTGAACTGTTCCTTTATTATTATTGAAGTGATCCAATGCCAGCATTAAACAATGATCCAAAAATCTGATGCTGGAAGACGTAATATATTAGGCGGCCTCAAAGTTATTTTGCCCCGATGATTCAGAGGTAAGTATAGGGGCTTTTCACTTTAAGAATCAGGTTTCGATACCTGTTGTGGGCCCATTATTAGCAGAATAACAAAATTAGTTTATAGAGAAAAAGAATGTTAACAACTTTTGTATTGCTTTGGTAACAGACATTCAAGGATCATCTTCGTTATGATACTATTATATAAAAAAGCCTGTTTTTGTTATTGTTTATTTGTATTGTTTGTTGTGATAGTCATTAGCTACAAAATGCTTTTCAAAATACGCAAACTTAAGGTATAAATTGTAGATTTTAAAAATTATCTGCAAAATGTGATTTACTTAATGTTAACCAACTCGCGCTTCTCTTCTTTTATGAGACATATAAGAGGAACAGTCAAATGTGTTTTTGTAATGTATTGTATTACCGGTGGCTCAGCGGTAAGTCTGAAGGCGTATAGCACTAAAAATCGGTTTTCCATAGCCGTGATGGATACGGCATAGACAACCCTATTGTTTAGTTTTGTGCTAAATGACAAATAAATAAAATATAGCCTTGAAAAATTAATATCAGTCATGAATTAAATTGTCCCATGATGCAGATATACACTGAAATAACAAAAACTTCTCAAGCACAACAATAAAGCCCACAAGGCTGTTAATACATTAACCAATTTATGAAGCAAAATGTCCAAAAAACATAATCTCGGTTCAAGTGAATCCAGTCTACTATTATGAAAAAGATAATATTAGAAAGCCAAGATATTAAACTTCACCAGCAGAAAGGGTAATATTGTGTTATATGTGTATACTTTTGTATTTACGTAAGTAATTTACGAGTTACAATTTATTTCTTCTTTCAGTTGGTTGAATATTTTTTTTTATGTCAGTATATTTTATAGGTCAATATATATAAACTCATCTACTAACTTTCACTTGCTCTTAAATTTTGTACAGCCACTTATGAGTCAATAAGACTATCCAAACTTATATCTTTTTCTGTTTATTGAATATTACTAAAAAAAGAAAAGAAAACAATAACATGTGTATAGAAAGTCTAAATCAGACATTCTAGCAGGTGCTATTTTCAAACACTTAAAGTAGAATTTTGTTTCAATGCTACATTTTTGGAAAAATTGTTAAATGGACTTTCCTCGCCAATAATAATAATAATTATTAATAGTTTTTCTACAAACCAAATTTCATCGAATATAGTTTGATTTGTCTGTTTTGTAGCCAACTTCTTGGTTATTAAAGCCGATTTTTGAAAACTACCCTATAGAAGATAACAGTTAAAAAATACAACTCAGCTGAAATTATTTATTCAATACGTTAAAGATTCACTCGTGACACATTCCTGAAGAAGCCTTATGAGATAGTTGGTGGCGTTGTTAACAGTGTGTAGAAATACTGCCAAAATTAAAATCGATTGCAAAATCTCAAAATTATTAATTATTTCACCTGCGTAAAGATTTTTATTAATAAATCCATAAAATTTTAAATAAAAAAGGAGCTTATTAGCCCATCAAGGATGACTCTTCCAGCTCCCAACTATAACCACCGATTACTACTCATGTATTAATCCAATCTTTTTTAAACTCACTTAAATTTTCTGCTTCCACAACCCTTGAAGGCAGCTCATAACATTTCATAAATTTGATATAAAATATGCTTGTACAAAAAGAACAGATTACTTGATTCAATGTTGTTAATTATTTACAATCTATGAGTGAAGAAAATACGCTCTGTGAATGGTCGTCTTAAATGTATGATGGAAGAATGAGAGATATCTGATCATATACAAAATACGAAACCAAGAAGGGTTGGTGAATGTTTGAAGATTTGAGACGGAATGAAACGATACTTACTTCATCGAGAATAAACATTCGACACCAGTATATATATATATACATAAAACAAATATGTAATTTTATAGAACTATATATATATATATATATATATGCAACTTATATTGCAGTTTGTAATTTCGAAATCAGCGCTCTTCTTACACTAATGTTATAAAAATGTTTTTCCACAGAAAGACCAGCATTTTTAGCCATAGATTTCATGAGTGACGCAAGTCTGTTTTCTCCTAGTGGCTGTCGTTTGAACCAAGAGTTGTTGTAAGTTGCCTTTGAATGATTTGGAACAAGATAAAACGGACTGTCAGCCTTCTTCATACATTCTGGTCTGTGACTGGTATAAAGACGATAAATGTGGATTGGATCTCTATCAGGACAATTCAAATTGGCATATATATGGAAATTTCCCATCACTCCTTCCTTAGGCTTTTTAGTTTCCTGGTCGATGTACTCCAGATACTCCAAACCATTTGGAAGCTGGCAAAGGAGTATGTCTCCCCACCGGAGTTCGTAATGTCTTTTGGCGGACCTGATCCCGAAAAAAATGGAATTGTAGAACCAGAGGGTATTAATAATTGAATCTTTTGAGCTAGCTCCAAGTTGTCTTGAGAGAAACAGTTTGTCAATCTCTGAATCTGTGAGAGGCACATGTTTTGTTGATAAGCATCCTTTTCCTTGAGACTTTAGTTGAAGTTGCTTCATTCGAAGAGACTCGCGTGTCTGGGTGAAATGGACTCCCGTGGGACCAAAAATAGCATCTGGATACTCTTGTTTCCGCAGATAACGATCAACACTACTCAAAAGACCCCTTAAAGAATCTGGCTCATAATCGTCTCCATTTCGTTTCTTGACATTAACGATAAAACTAGACAAAACATAATCCAACTCTTTTGGAGGTATTTTCTCAAGAGGTCTTTGTTCTCCAGTTTTTGAAAGAAAGGCATTTACTAATTGTAAGTCTGTTCTCGTCTTCCTAATCGTGTTTTGGTTTTCTGCCTTTACAAATGTCCCCTGACACGAATTAGAAGAATTTGATTCCTGGTCGTTATATTCAGCATCTAAATGTCTCTCAGAATTTTCTGAAGAATTATTCTTGCACTCAGGGCTGGATTTCAATTCAATTTCTTCGTCTTCAGATGACAGAACTACTGTAGGGACAAATAAAAAAAAGCAAAGACAATAAAGGAAGAAATCAGATAACACATCGATACTCGATTGAACAATGTTTGTCTCTGTTCGAGTGAACACAAACATTAATGTTTCATTCATTCTTCATATAAAGCAGCTGTTGTTAGTAATAAGGAACCTTCACCACTTATGCATCTACTTCAGTTATCAGTTTTGTTTGTTCGTTTGTTTGTTTTGAATTTCGCGCAAAGCTACATGAGGGCTATCTGCGCTAGCCATCCCTAATTTAGCAGTGTAAGACTAG